TAATTTTTCTTATTATTTATTTATTTGTTAATTATTTATTTGTTATTGTTTATATCAATTTATTTTTCCAGCCCTATTGGTCACAACAGGTCATTTACAACCAGAGGTTATTACAAGTAAAACACAACGCGAGCGATGTGTGCGTGTGTGTGTGTGTGCGCGCGTGTGTGCATGCTTTTTTTCAACAGTCTCATGTAGCTTTCATCACCTGCTGCCTAACAATATCCTCCACACGCCAACATTTTTTTAACCTTCCGTTTTTTTTTTCTATTTTCTACAACTTTTTCCCCACAACCTCTCCCAGATCCTGATTTGAACACTTCTGTTCAGAGCAAATGCAACTATTTTTTTAGGGACTGGAAACCCTGTTTAACACACTTTGCAAACTGAGCCAACCAACAAACAGATGTCACACAAAGACAGAGAACAGACTGCAAACACACGGACTAGATGTTTAGTAAAGATAGGAACCAAATGGACAAAACACATAATATGTATATTTTAAATGTTCATATTGTATAAGTTTATAAAAGCTTTTGTTGTGTCTTCATCCTCATCTTAAACTGGACTTTTTTAAAATCCAACTCACATTTGAAAATGTTAAATCAGTATTGAAATGAAGTGATGCAAAGGTTCAGATACTGTGAAAAGCTCTTACATGGAGTCCCGCTCTGGTTACTTTAATCCGTGGGCAGAGCGGAGAGTTTGGCTGAGTTCAGATGGGTGTCCTGGCCCCAGGTTTGCTGATGACATGGACGACAAAATTCCCAGTTTGGCCCCAAAGGATAAAAAGAAAGAGTCCAGAAATCCGCCCTTCAATTCCTGTCTTTCATCTTCCTCTTGTTCTTCCTCCTCTCGGTGCTGTCAGACATGAAGGCTTGTGGAGGAGTGAGGCTTGAGCCCCGCTCGGAGGATAGAGAGAGAGAGAGGGCGGGTGTGTGTGTGTGTGTGTGTGTGTGTGTGTGTGTGTGTGTGTGTGTGTGTGTGTGTGTGTGTGGGGGAGAGTGAGTGATGGTTGAGGAGGTGGTGGG